GTCAGATGAAAGGGGAGAAGGTCCTCCCCAATCAGTGGACTTGGAAAGGGGCAGGGAAGAGATGAGGGAGGGAGGGTTTGGGAGGGAGGGAGGGAGCAGGATACAGCTAGGATACAGAGTTAATAAAATGTAACTAATAATAAAAAAAATAAAAATTTAAAAAAAAGAGTTGCCTTGGGGGAAAAAAAAGAAGAGTTGCCTTGGTTGCAGTGCCTCTTCACAACAATAGAGCAGTGACTACTACAGTAGATCTCCACAAACTGATGACAGTGGATTTGCAAAAAAATTGGGGAGACAGAGCCCCAACTAGACATCTCTTGCCACCAAGTGAAACCTCCAGTGCCAGAAATGAATTACACATAGTTGAGTTGTTGGCCAATGGGGCCCATGGAACCTCTTGTACAACTCAGGTTATTGCCAAGGCTATTGGTTGCTCTCTACAAACTGATGGTAAGGCTCCATTGCTGAAGACAACACCTCCACAACTCATTGGACACAGAGGAGTCAAGCTGGTGCCCATCTGGAGCCTCCATTCCCACAGATTAATAAAAAGCTATTGGAAGGTACTCTGCACACTACCAAAAAAAAAAAAAAAGTGAACACCAAGCAACCCTTATACCTATTGTAATGATCTGACTGCAAGACATGCTGCTGCAGTGGAGGCACAAAACTTCTGGGAGGAACCAACCACTATTTGGTTTGAGCTAAGGCCCACTCCATGAGATGGAACCCATTCTCAGTGCTACTTGGATGGCCAAGAACCTGAAACTAGATAGCCTGGGGACCTAGGCTAGCTAGTCCCAAATATTAATGTTCTGCCAAAGTAACATAGCATTAAAATGATTCCTAATGATGTTCTGCTGTACCTGCAGATCTGTGGCTTGCTCATCTATCATAAGAGAAGCTTCCTCCTGCAGCACAGGGGAAACAAGTATAGAGACCCACAGCCAGACAATATGTAGAAGGTGCGAGACCTAGAAAAAAACCTAGCTCTAAAAGGGATGTCTCCAGCAAATTTCCTCCCTCAGTGTTCAGGGAACTCTACAGAAGAAAAGACAGAAACAGTGTAAGAGCCATAGGAGCTAAAGGACACAAAGGAAACAAGGCCTTCTAAACAGAGAATGACAGACACACATATGAACTCACAAAGATCTGCACCAGATGGAGTCCTAGAGCTAAAAGGAGCAGTGGACATATGCCCCAGTCCCAAACTCAGAAGCTATCTCCAATCGCTACCCATTTGCAAATGAAAAATTAGTTTCTCACTGAGAAAACAAACCACTCTTACCATGCTCAGAAACAGATGGCCAACACAAAATGAACTCAACAACATTTCTGAAGGCTCTTTGTCTCATAATGTTAAGTCAGGACTTTTTTTTTTTTTAATCTTACAAATACTATTATGGCTTCCTTGGTGGGGAGAGGATTATGGGATTCCTGTGTATGCCAAGGTTTGTTTCTGTGTTTATGTGTTTTGTGTACTTTTTCTATGGCCCCTTTTCTTGTTTGGTTGTTTTGTCATATTCTGATTTTTTTGGTTTTGGTTTATCTTATTGTATTGTGTTGTATTGCATTGCATTACATTGCACTGCATTGTGTTGCATTCCTTAGATGCCTGCTTGTTTTCTAAAGAGAAATAGGAATGATGTGAATCTGGTAAAAAGGGTAGGGTAGGAGGAACTGGGGGACATAGGGAGCAGAGAAATATCATCAGAATATATTGTATGAAAATATCTATTTTCAATAAAATAAAAAGAACTAATGAATCTAATGCTGCCAAAATATTGATCTTGGCTTTCAGCTCCCAGAACTGTGAGAACATAAATTCCTGTTGCTTAAGACATCCAGCCTGTAGCACTTCACTATGGCATGCTTAGAAAAGCAATACCCCTAATAGTTCATACATTTAGGTTCAAAGTATTATATTTTCTGCAGTGTTTCTGCTGGTGGTCCTGTACTTTTTTTTCTTCTTGTTCACAACTTAATCATGGCACTCCAGAAAGTCAATTTTCTTTGATACTGTGTGGATGACTTGCATGCCTCATTTCCACTATACTGGAACTCTGTCAGTGAATTCCTTGAGTTTTTGGAGTCTATTATTTTTCTTATGTCGTCTGAGAACTAGTTATGGGCTGAATTATCCTTTTGCTTGGGTTGGTCCTCAGCTCACTTCCTTCAGTCTTTATGTTCACTCTTTTTTCATTTTCCAACCTTGATTTAAAAAGAAAGACTATGAAGCAAGCCACTCTTATTGATCCCAAACCAAAGGAGGCAGCTATAGAATTTTGTTCACTTACTGGAAGTTTCTCAGAGTGGCTATGTGTGTGGTAGACGGGAAGAGAGAGGCGGAGTTAGGAGCCTGCCTCAGCTGAGCCTCCGCTGTGTATGAGAGAAAGTAAGCAAAGCTGTGAGAAGTGCACATATTCAAGACTTGGTTTCCTAGTTATTCAACAAAAACCCTGCTTTTCACGGTCACTGAATGTTCATCCAGGTTAATGTGGAGGATGATTTATGTTAGCAGAGGTAAACAACAGAAATCTTATTTATCTACTCTTCATGTGAAACTCTGTTCTTGTTCCTATCTGGTTTAAAAGCCACTTCCATGAAATGGATACATCATTAATGTCATTGTTCTTCAGGATGCTTACGGGCATCATAAGTAAAGCTTTGCAAGGGCCCTTGGCACTGCATCCCTGGGAGCCTAGAAAAAAAAGTATTTGACAGAGGACAAAGGAGTCCATATCTCTCCAGCCCAGGAGTGCTGCTAACTTTTAGTCACTTAGAAGAAACCTAGACCCTCATATCCAGTTTTCCACCAACACCTCTTATTTTAAGAGGAAATGGGTGTTTCTGAGAACTTTGGATATGTTTGGGGCTCTTCAGGCTCTCTTGAGTCTTCCAGATGCTTCCCTCAGTCCCTAGGGAACGTGGAAAGAGCTAAGACACTTCCAAAAAGATAAAGTGTATTTCATAAATAAGCAGTAACCACAGAGTAGTTGCCAAATTGCATGAGCTTCCTGCCTAAAATAATGAGTCGAAATGTGGAAAATGTAAAAAAAAAAAAAAAGTTCCTTCTTTTATCTATCCCTCACCACTGGCACTTTTGTTATTCTTGTACAAATATGGCCCTTGTACAAATGTCTTTAAGTTCCATTTACAAGCTACAAGGTAGCTTTTTTCTTTTTAAATGACTGTTACTGGTAAAAATGTAATATTTACAGAATGACATAAATCTTTCCACTTGAGCATCATTAAATTCTTTTTTGAATTACAAATTCTAGAGATGTGTACTTGAACTAAAGCAGTGACCAAAAGAGAAAGCTTTTGGTGGTAAAATGGTAGGGAGCTGTGAGAGTTCAGTGAGGTGAAGTAAGGAGAAAAGTGAAAAAGCATTGGTCTCTTGCTCAGGGTCTCCTTAATTGTTGATTTTTTTTCCTTAAGAAAGCAAAGGAAAAAGCTTTTATATATCTGCTTGTGAGCATTACTAATAATAACCAAATATGGTAGAGGTTTTATTCACCAGACCTACCTCTTTCCTGCTTCACAGAGAGCCTTCACAAGTAGATAAAAAAAAGTATGCACCTTATTTAAAGTCATGTGATTAATGTTAGAGAATTTTTTTTTTGCAGAGAAGTAATTTGTTTTAGAAGTTAGGCACTCTAAGATCAGCTTTTGACAGCTTAGCTGTGGTGAACCTAACATGAACCTTATGACAAAGACACAAAGCAAAAGCAGAAACTCTAAGACACAGAAAAACTTCAGAATCACAGTGTCCAAGACAAGCAACACCTGAACTCTTTGTTTGCCAAATTAAAAAAAAAAAAAAGTATTTTTTTTCTAGACATATCTTTAGTTGTATATGGAACCCCAAGTAAAATCTGATTCGTAGTAATAGTTTGCATGGACCTTCTATATACAGTGATTGAAAAGTACTCAGAATATTTTTGCACACCTACAAGAAAAATATTTTAAGTGATGTTTATGACCCTTCTGGTTAAATGTAGAGGTCTAAGTAACAGTTTTTTCTAGACATGAAAAAAACATTGTGGCGGTCTAAATAAGAATGGTTCCCATAGGCTCATGTATTTGAATGCTTACTCATCAGGGAGTGACACCATTTAAGAAGGATTAAAAGGATTAGGAGGTGTGGCGTTGTTGGAGGATATGTGTCAAGCAGGGGTGGGCCTTGAGATTTTAAATGCCCACCCAGGCTCAGGTTCTCTCTTTTTCTCTTTGCTATCTGGATGTAAAGCTCTCGGCTCCAGGACAATACCTCCCTGTGTGTTGCCCATGCTCCCCACTGCAGAGGTAATGGACTAGCCCTCTGAAACTGTTAAATACCTTTTTATGAGTTGCTGTGGTTATGGTGTTTTTCGCAGTAATAGAACAGGGACTGAGACAGAGGCTTTTCTAAAAATGACCTACCCTGCCCTGACCTTCATCAAAGGGCTAGTTTCTACCCTGGAAAGAAAAAAAGCTTTCTTTCTTAAATGTAGAAAATGTGCATCTTGCTTTTTTCCTCTCTGCAGTTAGGAAGAATCTATTATGAAATCTTTTCTAAAAAGAAAAAAAAAAAAAAGCTCTTACTGGAGACAATTAAAAGTGTCCTCTGAACATGTTAGAGTTATATAGTCTTTACAACATCTACAAGAGTTGTCCAGAGTGGTGTTGTTTTCCCCTCCCTCTCAGAGTGAGTCTCTCTTTCTTTCTCTCTCTCTCTCTCTTTCTCTTCCGTGTGTGTGTAAATGAGTGAGAAATTTACGTTTCCGTCAGTCATGAACAGTCACCCTGCTGGGTTAAGGCACTGGACATACATGTAGTCATGGATATGATTTTCATGTGTAAATGCAGAGAAAGCACAGCCTTTAAGGCCTCACAGAGCTTATTCTATTATAGTAAGCCATATGCCCTGACCCCTTAGCAGCTTCAGAATAAACACACCTTGGAACTGTCCCCTGGGTTTCTGAAGCCTGCTTGTAGCTTGAGGATGCTTAACTTACCATTTCCAAAGCAGTCTCCTTCAAAATCAAAGGCTTGGAGATGAGTATTCATTATTTTCATTTGAAGCTGAGATGACAGCTGGAGGCTGTGCTCACTCACACACTTGAAGGAATGCCCAACTACTGTCTCGAACATCATCATAGTACGTTTTATTCCCTGGTAAGTCTTCTCTGAAAAGGGAAAGTAAAATATGACGTGCAAGAATCCTAACACTATCCACTGAGTTCCAGGTACCATTAGTCTGTGCACATACAGTCAGCTGCCTTCTTTCAGATGGGGTGCCCTGGGAGTTCTGCCATCTTTCCCATGAAGAAATACTCTAGGCGGGCAGGCTTTTTCTGTGGCTCTGCTTGGAATATACGTGAGATGTTCCACATAGATTTCTATGGGGGAGCAGTGAACTGAGTGTTTATCCTCTGGTTTTATGTCAAATGATTGGAGATGTCAATTCCTTTGACTACAGAGAGTTTCCTAAAGACTTTAGAAAGAGAAATGAGAATGTTCTGACACTTACAGTGCATGATAATGAATCAGAACAAAGATATACAAGTCCACAAATGGTGCATCTACACGCCACAAGACTGGGTCTATACAGCAGGAGGAAGAACCCAGGAATGAAGTTGCACCCACCCCTGAAAGCATATCCCATTCCTTCTGTTTTCTGCCCAGGAAAGGGACATACTCATTATGTCAGGTACACCCTTTACAACCAGGTGGTCTTTAAGGCAGATGGGGTCAAACATATTCGTCTGCTCCAATTCAACATTCACCAGGCACCCTTCTAATCATATTTTGCTTTGATGAATGACAAAATCTAATAGGCCAAAGAGCCAAAGTGGCTTGTCCTATTGCCAGTTCCAGTAAGAAATAGTCTCATAAAAATTAACAGGTAGACAAAAAAGAAAATTAACAAGTTGGCCTGAAATGATGTAGTAAATTATCTATTTACACTATCGTATCGTGTGATATAGATCTAAAGCTTTATTTGTACATTATCTACCTACCTGTATATCATCTGTCTGTCTATCCTGGATCTCCTATTGCCGCCATCCCATTAACATTAACCCCGTTATCAGTACTATAATGACAATGAATTACCGTTACGAATACTACTACCAGCACCTCACTGATATGGCAACCATCACCACTGCGCCTACTATTCCTCCTTCTAATAATTCTGAGCTCCTGATCATATCAACCTAGAACTGGCTTCCCCATCAGCCTCTAAGTCAATCTCTAGTCTGATACTCATTTCTCACCTTTCTTGAGAGATGACCATCCTACTACTGGCTAAAATCTAGTCCACCCCTAGTGATAACATTAAGCTATTTTATTAGCACTCATAATACTTACTACCTAGTCTAGAGGAGACAGATATAAGTTAACAGATATAAAAATTAGCTGTCAGTTGTTGGATTTTTTTTTTACTTACATTTAATCAGCATCACTAACAAAAATCCTCTTAAATGATATCAACAAAATATAGCAAATATTTTAAATAGACTTTGCCCCCTGTGTTTAGTTATTAGCAAATATCATTAGTGAGATATTATTAATTAATTAATAATGTTTAAACCAATCAAATGATAACACTTGAAAAGAAGAAAACAGAAAAGTTCCAAAACCAGTAACTGGAACAGTAGAGGAACTCAATACAAATGTGTTATCTAAGGCTAGATATTCAGGGAAAATTGATTCATTAGATTCAGTTGGGAACATTTTCTCTCTAAACATGAACATTTGTAAGCTTTAAAAAAAATGCCCCACTATGAGTAATTTTCCAAAAGGTAACCAAAGCGAATGTTCATATATGCTAATCTGCTATACCATTTCCTTAACTCAAATCTTCCTATGGTATAGTTACATACTTTAGAATAAAATCTCAAGTCTTTAGCTTTCCTACCCATAGGCCCTACAAGCTCTGGAGTGGAAATCCATGGGACCTCATCTACTATGTGTTCGCCTTCTAGGACACATCAGTTCCCTGCTGTTCCTTAGCTGCTGTGGTAGTTTGCATGAGAATGTCCTACATAGACCCTCATATTTGAATATTTGGTATTTCGTTGGTGGAGTGCTTGGGGATGTGGCTTTCTTGGAGGAAGTACATCACTCCAGTCAGGCTTTGAGCTTCCGAAGCTCCATTCCATTCCCAATGCTCTCTTTCTCTGCCTCAGCTTACAGATGGAGATGTAGGTTCTCAGCTTCCTGCCTCATGCACCAGTCACTATGCCTGCCTGCTGTCACACTTGCTGTCATGACATTAATGAACTCTTATGTCTTTGGAACCATAAGCCAAATAAACCCTTTCTTCTATAAGTTGCCTTAGCCATAGAGCTTTACCACAGCAATGTAAAAGTAGTAAATATAGCTACTCTGACAAGTTCATTCCTTAAGGCCTATAAATCTTTTTACTCTGCCCTCTGGGCAAATTGCCTCAAACCTGATGTCCCTAAATGGAGATACTGTGCTCAAACTTCCCATCTTCAAAATAGTTTTTCTCCTCTGGACACTTCCCAATGAGTACGTGAAATAGCTCTCCATTCTTTGACATCTTGGTCAGTGTTTGCTCATTGAACTGATTTCCACTTAAGAATACAATTTACCACAAGTAGAACAACAGAGCCAAAATACCTGGGCCCAGGAGGGCCAGCAGAGACCAATACTCCAACTAAAGACCATGCATGGAGTAGACCTAGAACCCATGTTAAAAAAAAGCCCATTGGCTGCTCAGTTCCCAGGTGGGTTCCTTAGTTAGGTGATCAAGGGCTATCTCTGACATAAACTCTCTGACATGAGCTCTTTGATCACCTCCCCCTGGGGGCATGCAGCTTTGCCAGGCCACAGAGTTCCCTATCAGGGCACTAGGGAAAGGGCATAGGGGGAGAAGAGAGAGGGCAGGTGAAGCTAGGAGGAAATGAGGGAGGGGACTACAGCGGGGATACAAAGTGAATAAATTGTAATAAATAAATATATAAAAAATTAAAATAAAAAAGAATATAATTTAACATGGCTGTGTATGGTGCTCTTCCCTTCTGGAATGTGAGCCCCACTATAACAGAATCTTACTAGTCTGTATAATTATGGTTCCTCAGTGTCTAACACAGACAGAGCATGGTACTTAGCTATATCATAATTTTGTAGCATAAAATACAACTAAGAGTACAGAATAAATTCCTCTCTAATAACAAATCAGTTAAGGAGGTACTGCACTTATAATTTCTAAAGCTCACAACTGTCAATATAATCTATGCCACCATCCTCCATGATCAGATAAACTAAAGTACACACAGATTTTTTAGTTCCTCCAGAGTTTTATTATAGACTACTCTGTCATATTTTAAAAACATTATCAAAAAGTATCAGAGTTGATAATAAGAAAATGAGCTACCAGAAAACAATGATAGCAGCTGTTTTCTTACTAACCTGTATTTGAGATGGTCAAGTAGGCTCCCACTTCACTGATATAATAGGAGTTTTTTCCCTGTAAAACATCAATGTGTTAACTTTTGAGTAATCTCAATTTTTATGTTTATGATCTTGGCTATTAAGTCCTTGGTATGAAGATTAGGGTATATGTTGATGCTAGGCATAATTATATTTTAAAAATTCAACAAAAGTAAACATCACACAATAAATTTTTTAAAAAGGAATAAACAACTACGGGATCCAGATTTCTTCACTTCTTACTTGTTGCTAGAGCCTGAAACTAAAATTCCACCAGAAGAATTTCAGTTCTGCCAAGTTTCCAAAGTGCAATTACATCTGGAAGGCAAAGAAGGATGGTAGCAAGGGCAGTATTAACTTAGACTACCCATTCTCAAGAATACATTCTCAAGAGTTTGGGGATTTCATCAACTCTTAGATGAAATTAACATAAGCAAAATTGTATGTGCTTTCTTCTATGTAGAAGGTCAATTGGTAAAAAGATGAATAGATCTATGTTTTCAAATTGGTGAAAAGGGCCACAAGGAGGGATTCTGGGAAGACTCAATTCTTCCTGGAGTCCACATTTCAACTCCACTTTTTATCTAGAAGTTCTTGGTTGGAAATCAAAAGAAACTATACAATAGCTCTGCACCCCTTTGAAATACTGGGGGGGGCACAGAATGCTCTGTAAATTTTAATTTGGGTAAGAAGTTAATTTAAACCGAAATTTATGTGTTTGCTTGTTGATGAGAATTGAATCCAGGGTCTCACGCATAAAACGCACATACTCAATCACTGAGCTACATCCTTGGCCCCTTTCTATTTTTCAACGTTAGTGATTTACACTGTAATCACCAGAAAGGTATAAAACTCATGATAATGTAATCAAAATCAGGGTATAAAATCAAATTACTTTAAAAAGTTTCACATGTAATCGTGAAAGAAATTCAGCAATAATAATTATCATTACATTATAACCTACATTCCTATTATTCATAAATGAAATGATGATTCATTGCACAGTACAACTTACTTTAGTAAGACCACTGATATAAGATACAAGAATTCTAGATCCTGCAATTCATTGACTGGCTTATCGTGATGCCTTCTCAATTTGTACCAGGCACTATAGCGGATGCTTCCATGCACTGTCCTAATTAATTCTCACAACTGTGAGAAGTAAAATGTATATTGAGTGTTATTCAAGGCCACAGCCTAAGCGTGACAGGGTAAGATATGGCCACTCAGTGCTAAACTCAAACTAGAATTAATTTGACTTTGACAGCCACTCCATACTAGGCATCATTCAAGGACCTGGCAGAAGACAAGGCTCTCCTCTGAAATACTCAGTCTCATCAGTCTTAGAGGCAAGTAGAACAACACACTGTTTGCTTTAGGGAAAAATGTCTGTGACCCAAATCCTCTCTGGATTGCTTTTACTTTTGTATCCATGGTCCAGACTACAAGACCCTTGCCCTAGCTGGGTGTGGTGGAACACACCTTTAATTCCAGCATCTCAAAAGCAAAGGAGGCCATGAGTTTGAGTTTGAGGCTACCCTGGTCTTCATAGTGAGTTCCAGGCCAACAAGGGCCTCATAGTGAGACTCTATCTCAACCCCTACCCCCCCCCAAAAAAAACCTACCCCATTTTAAAGGCAAGAATAAGATCTGCTGAAGGGTTTTAAGTGGGGTAATATGCTGGATTTTGTATTTAGAAACTACTTAGGCTATGGAGTTAGATTAATTTAAGGAGCAGTAGAATAACAGTTACAAGACTACTCTGAATCTTCCAGAAATTTCCCTACCCTTGGTATCTTCATGACATTAGTAATAGGCGTTTGACATTTCTACAAGTGTGTCATAGTTTACCAAGTACACTATTTGCACTCTGTTTTTTAACTAAAAGCCCAGATTTCTGACTTTTTAGAAACAGACTATTATGTTATTACCCATATGTTATTACCCATATTTAACAATGGATATGCTTGGTAGATGCTCACAGTGTGCATTCACTCTTCCTGGATAAACTGTTTAAAAGGATCATGGATGGCCAGGTGGTACAGGCCTTAAAGTCTAGGTAACTAGAGAGTCTGAGGGAAGGGAATAGCAGTTTCAAGGCCATTTCAAGAGCTACAAAATGAACTCATCTGAATAATGTTAGTGAGACTCTATCACAAATTAATAAAATGAATGTTCACTGGTAGAGCACTTGCTAAGCATATGAAGCCCTTGGTTTAATATCCAAAACTGGAAAAATATACAATGAAAATTCCCATATCAAGATGCCAGCTCTTTTGCCTGCTCCTTGTCATTTCACTCTCACCCTATCTTTTTTTTTGTATTCAAATATTTAAGAAAGCTCAGATTTTGAGGGGATTAACTTTTTATATTACTTCATATGTGAGTACTGTATTTACATCATTTCCCCCTTCCCTCCCTCCAAATCTTCCTGTCCCTGATCCCTGATATACCCTGATTCCTCTCAAATTCATGGCTTTTTTTCATTAATTGTTATTATGATGCTAATTGCTGAGTTGCTTGCATGTTTATGTGTTTAGAACTGGACATCTGAGATTGGGTAATTTACCAGGGGCTTCTCCATGGAAAACACTTTTCTTCCTCCCCAGCACCCCTTAATTGCCTGTAACTAATCATAAAAAAGGAGCATTGTGAGAGTTCCCTTATCTATGTTGGAATGTCAATTAGTATTGTCACTGTTCAAGTCTTTTTTCAGCAACCTTATATTTGGGATTTCACTGGTGCAGCTTCCCTGTCATCTACCAAGCACACAACCTCATAGCAAATGTCCTTGTCTTTTTGTTCTTGAAATCTTTCATCCCGGTGTTTCTTGATACTCCCTGAGCCTTAGAGGTATTTTATAAATGTATTAATTGAGGATGAAAGCCCATGATTAGTTGTTCTCTGTATTTTGAGCTGCTGCGCATTTGGGTATTGGTCTCTGTCTGCTGAAGAAAAGACTCTTCTTTAATGAGAGCTGAACAATAAGTGTTTAGAGTTAGAAACCAGACTAATTTAAGAAAATGGCAGTAAGTTCCATGGCTCACCAGCATAGATAGCTGTCTAGGTTTAGAGCATCAGTCATGAATTTCCTGTTGAGCAGGCCTGAAGTCCAATTAAGTGCCTATTGGTTACCACTAGATATAAGTGCCACTGTTGAGTCTTTGGAGATATCTTTGCTGTGCTGTTCATTGTGTGGGTTGCAGGCATCATAACTGGGTAGGCCTGTTGATTGTTTTTCTCCTGTGGCAGCTAACATAGCACCTTCTATGAACTATGAAAGCTGGTCCTCAAGAAAGAACCTTCCAGGTCAGATCCAGCACATGTCTTCCAAATCCTATGGAAGGTCAGTTTTAATATTCATAAAAACATTTAGAGTGTTTTGAATTTAAGAATATCAACAGAGAAAACATATTTTACTACTCTTCTTCTACTGTATTATGCTTAGTTCCTAAAATCTTTGAATTGAAGGCCACTATTTTGGCTTAAACAAAATACAGAAACTCTTCAAAAAGATAAAGGCTCAGAGGCTCCTTGACCCTCTCCCACCCTGGAACCAAAGCAGATGCTTCAGAAACTCATGCTGGAGAGTCCGGTGACTGAAGATGCTTGCGATACCAGCAAAGGAACAAAGGCCACACTTTGGGCCACCATTGGAGACTAGCTCTGGGATGTTAGGTGGAGGCACAAAGGGCTGCCATCTTAATCTGAATCCTCATTACCTGTCCACTCATCTCATCTACAATAAGCAGAATTTGGGAGCTTATAGGTTTTCAGAAAGACAGGCATTCGAGACTTAGGTGGAATCTGGTCAAACTGTTCAGCCCAAAGGCAACTGAGGAAAGAGAGGAAAACCGAGGAAGAGAAAAAGAGAGATAGACAAATACATACATTGGGAGAGAGAGAAAAAACAGAAGAGCACTAGAGAGGCACATGCCAGCAGTTCTGCCTGAGGTCTGATGACTGTGTCCATCACATTTCACAACTATTGCCTGTGTGCTTCCCCACTGGCACTTATTCCTACAGGTATATGGACACGTTCCGGGAAGCATTGATGCCACAAGGCATAGATGTCTAGTCTGCATATTTCAGTTTTCTAAGGTGACTTTTAAAAGATCTCCTGATAGTCATATAGTTTTATGTCAGTTACCCATGGATAGAGTCCTCATTATGTCATAAGAAACTTCTTACCACCATGGTATAGAAAGAAAAATAATCATTCTCAAATGCATCTCCATCTTACAGCAAAAACTAAATACAAAGCCCTTAAGCTCATAACAGCAGTTACAGCCAATACATTTTATTGAAAAAATTAATGTTTGTTAAACATAATGCATAGGAGGGAGTCTACTGGCTTGTCCTATTGGAACTCAGCTTACTGGACGTGCCCAGAAATCAAGAGAGAGAGATTAAAAAAAATCCTCTGCTTTAACCTCTGTAAGGAAAGCAACTTCTAATTTTTGGATCCACCTTATGTTTTATTTCTGCTTTCCCCAGAAACCTCCTTTTCTATCAAGTTAGCCTTCAAGGCTGAGCTCATCCCAGCACCCTATCTTATAAAATGGAGCATTAGTGGATCCAGAAATCACAAATAAGAGCCAATTAAGATCTTTACTTTTGTCCTTAGCAATTATGTTCCAAGCTAAATCATTTTCGTGCACAAATAAATACTATGTTAGTTTACATACAAACTTCTCATCCTCCGAAAAGTCAGAGTAAGTTGTCTCATAATTCTCATTTTACAAATTAAGAACCATCCCCAAGCAGCTTGAGTACATGCAGCTAGTACCAGCTTCTTTCAGCACCATAGTGGGTTAAGTTATTTTTCTGGACAGTGAGATAACCAGGTTGGTTTGTTAGCCCTTCACCCCAAATATCTGCCCATTGTAGTCACTGCAATTACAGTAAGTAACTACTAAATAGTCACAACTTTCTCTATAATGGGTATGCTTTTAAAGAAGTGACCCCTTTTCTTATTTCTAAGCAATAAAGTAGAACTTAAAAAGATTACGGTTGCTTACTTGCTGCCACAAAACAAATCAGTGCCTGAGTCAAATTTAGAGCTGACTTGCACCTCAACACCCAAGCCTTTCCTACTATACTTGCTGTCTCTATGTTCTGTCAGGAAAACTCAGAGCCCTTCTAGCCCATGAGTTTTGCCGTCAGTGATGGGAAGGAACCCATTCTAGGATTTTACGTTGGTTTTAGAATAAACCCACTTATCTGATATCCACTGGAGATTTCCACAAATCTTTTCATCTGTGCCACTTCCTCCTTGTGTAATCTGCAAAAGGCACTAGTGAGGAAAGTCCTCAAAGCTAAAGCTCTCCCAAGAGGCACTGAAGCCCTTCTTGGACTCATCAGAGGAGGCTGAAGGGGAAGAAGACAAACATGATGTCAACACTTCCTTCCTCTCCCTCCCAGTCTTCTTATTCTTATCTGAAAAGATCTCCAGAGGCTCTCAGGTACTTCTGCCAGGTTTAGCTTGAAATTTAGCACTGAAGCACCAGCAGTAGGTTGAGAAGAAGCCAAGCTGTGCCAGAGCCAGTCCCTGTGAAGAAATCAATATCTCACCTTTGTAAATGTGATATTCACAGATCCACCCTGGAAATTCAAGAACAGGTTGGATTTTTGGGAGCCACATTTCCCAGATGCATGGGTTAGGCTAGGGTCAATGTTGAAGTGTCTCTCAGTTGCAGAATCCTAAACCAAATAAGATGGACCTAATCAGTAAGAGACAGAAGAAACCACAGCCAGAGACCAGAAGTAGAAGCTATAAAATGAAAAAGTGGATATACATTTAAAAACCACCGACTCCCCAGGTGTATGACATCTGCTTAACTCTGAGCATGTGCTTAAAGGCTTTTTTAGGAGAAATTCACCCATTTTAGGGACTTTTAACAGGTAACTCATAGGTAGCAAATTACATGGAATTCAATTTTTGTTCAGTTCAAGGTATTGAGAGGTGAAAGAGGAGTTTGTACTCTAAGGTACTTCTGCCTCAAACACAGATATAAGGGGTATTTTTGATAAAAACTACATTAAAATGATAATTTATGGTGACTCCTTCATTATAAAATGCTTGATACAACCTTTTTCCCTAGTTTTCTTGTTAATCTGGAATTTTTAAATAATATTATAGTAGACTGGCACCATGAAGAATATCAGACCCCAATGTCTCATGTCAGAAAGGAACTAAGTCTGAGAAGTCATGTAGATAAATAAGGCCAGGCTGTAATTTTCATATAGCATCCCTAATATTGACAACACTGGCTCCAAGCGAGAAGTACATATATTAAAGTCCTCTTTGCTTTATTGTCTTCTGGAACACATTCCTTTAGGATAGATAACTCTGGAAAGATGAACCCACAACTACTAAAGGATGTAGAAAAGTGCTCACTCTTCCCAAAACAAATGCAGTCAGATTTTGAAAATAGCATTATCATCCCATGACACTAACTTACCAAATCCTTTTCTTGAACAATCAGCTGAATACCCATCTCTGCTTTTATACAGAGCCTGCTTCCATTTAAGACTTCGTAAGTTCCCGTCTTGACTGATAATGACTGACTTGCAAGAGTGGGCCTCAGATCTATGGGGGCAGGTGAGGTTGTCGGGCTGTCCTTGTGTGTAGGAGCTGTTGTTTCTGGAGCATAGGTTGAAAGAGATGGCTTCTGTTTGGCTGTGCTTTTGTTTGATGCTGTATTAATAGTTTTGAGGAGGGTGGTCTGATCACCAAATTGGGTAGTTCTCCCAGTTATATGGTTGACAGTGGATAGACTAACTCCAGTTTTAGGAATTGGCAAATGTGCAATTAAACCAAGGCCAATGGTAGATGAAGCAGTCATGTGTGAGTTATTAGATGTGACAAAGGTATAACTAGCTGTGCTGCTGGGTAGAAGACTTTTTGCTGTTTTTTCTGTGTGAGCTGTGTTTTCAGAGGTGGGGGTTTCAGCAGCCATTTGAATGTAATCATCCTTTGATCTCACTGCTAAAGTTACATGAAGTGTTTGGTTAATCAGCTGTAGAGGAGGTTTTGCTGTGGTTGGTCCTGTTGCTGTTGTGATATGTTGAAGATAGCCTCTGGATTTTGGAAGTTCTTTTTCTCTTATTTGATGGCCATGTAAAATTACTGCAAATTAAGAAAGCAAAAGTGTTACAAGCACTGACCAAATACTTAAAAGGTCCCTCTTTCATTCCTACTTTAATATACTCGTAAGTAAACTGGCACACACAGTTTCATGTTTAGGGAAAACTTTCAAGAGTTGCAACAATAAAGTGAAGATCACCAAAGACTCTAGTACCAGGCCATCACTATAATGTTTTGGTTTGCACCTGTGTTCTTTAGATATTTATGGCCATATGTCAAGCATTCTATATGTAACCCTTCATCTGCATAGGTTATAGTACCAAAGTACATCAAAGAAATTGTATTCAACTGTGAAACCAAAAAGAAGTCATAAAGTGCTCCTGTGAACAGTAGCTGTAACGACTGCATAGACTGAGGCAGCCTTAGGGATTTGTAGTGTTTTATATTTTTCATGGAATCATGTAATTTTAAGTTTGGAATAAATCTTACATGCCATTTAATTTAAACCATAATCTGATGGAAAAATTGTGCTTGAATTATATAAATTTAAGCAGTCCTGCTAACTGCTTCCAACAATGAGAGACTATTTTCTCACAAAATGGTCCCCTTCACATTATTTTTCTAAATACAGACCAACTTATATTATTTTCTTAATCTTCTGAACAATCTAGTCTTTATTAACTAAGAAAAAAAATCAAGGTATAATTTCTCTGGTCCTTCATGTTTTGGTTTAAATGGCAGCATTTCAGAGAGTCTTCCCTTGTCCTCCTTATATTTAACAGCCCCTGTCACCATGGTTCTCCATCTCAGTGTTATGTTCAATGTTTTGGCTTTACCTATCACATCTTGTACTCACATATGGGGATAGTATCAATATATTTAATGATCACATTGCCAATAGGTAGGAGTAGAATTTCATCCTTGAAGAAATCTTTACTTACTGGTTTATTTCTTGGTTATGTATCTTACTCACTAGGTTTAAAGCCTAAAGTTGAGAATTATGCATATAGTTTTCACCACCAGTGCATATATATAGAAAATGTTCAGTAAATATGAGTTGGATGATAATAGTCTTAATGACAATAGCCTTAATGACATTCTAGAATTATTTTAAGTCTCAAAATGTTGTTTCAGAGAAAATCTTTAGGACCCTTGAATAAACAGTGTCTGCTGTTGTCACAAATTGTCTCCAGGGATATCATTTAAGCAGGTGAAAACCTCTGTTTCTGTTTCATCCATGTCATTCTATCCTTGCCTCTTTTTAGGCACATATAAATCCAGAAAAGTAAACAAAATTCTAAAACTGGCCTTTGAAAGCTCTTTGATGATGTTTGCTGGGAAACAGCTCTGTCCACTCAAACTTCTTGGTTTATAGTGCATTTACTCAGACATTTATAGGATCTGTAGTTGCTAGGTTCTGGGCTGAGACTTGAGAAAAGATTCAAAAAGAAAAAAAGAGCTTGGTTTTACCCTCATATTTATGAGACTCTGAGATTTCATCTTACACCCATCAACATGGCTAAGATCAAAAGCTTGAGCAATAGCACTTGCTGCCTAGGATGTGAAAAAGAAGGAACACTTCTCCATTGCTGGTAGGAGTCCAAACTTGTACAACCACTCTGGAAATCAATCTAGTACCTTATCAGAAAATTAGGAATAGACCTACCTCAAGATGGAAACAACCTAGACATCCCTCAACCAAAGAATGGATAAAGAAACTGCAGTGTATTTACACTAGGGAATACTACTTAGATATGAAAAACAAGGAAATTGTGAAATTTGCAGGCATATGGATGGAACTAGAAAAGATCATCCTGAGTGAGGTAACCCAGATCCAGACACACGTAGTATGTACTCACTTATAAGCAGATTTTAGCCATATAGTACAGGATAAACATACCACAATTCATAGATCCAAAGAAAATAAGTAATAAGGAAGACCCAAGGGAGCATACTTAAATCTCACTCAGAAGGGGAAATAGAATAGACAGCAGAAGTGGTTGAAGAGAGGGAACAAGGTAAGAGAAGGAATGCAAAGAGAAACAAAGGTAAGGATCAGACCTGGGGAGAGAGGGGGAAGGGACAGAGGGCCTGAAGAGAGAAAAGAAACAATGGTTGGTGGCATCTCTGTGACAAGCTGGAGACCTACAACAGGGTAAGCTCCTGGGAGGACACGGAGGTGGCTCTAGCTGAGACTCCTAGTAGCAGGAGTCATGGAGACTGAAGAGGACACCCTCTAACTACACATGACTCCTAGAGGAGGGAGAGGAACACCAACTCACTCACAAAAACTTCAACCCAAAGTCCACCCTGCCTACCAGATGTGCAGGGATAAAGATATTGCAGAGATTGAGAGAATGTCCAACCAATGCCAGACCCAACCTGGGACCCACCTCATGGGAGAGGGCCAACCCTTGACACTATTAATGATCCTCTGCTATGCAGGTAGAGGGAGCCTAGCATAGCTGTCCTCTGAGAGGTTCCACCCAGCAGTGGATCAAAACAAATGATGAGAGTTACAGCCAAACATTGGGTGAAGTGTAAAGAGTTTTGTAGAAAAGTAGGGGGAAGTGTAGAAGAATCTGGAGGTGACAGTGGGTCCACAGAGCCAATGGAGCCAACTAACAAGGGCCCAGAAGGACTTTCAGAGATTGAAGCACCAACCATGCATGGATTGGACCTAGGCCTCCTACACAGATATAGCTGATGGGCAGCCGGGGCTTCATGTGAGTTTCCTAGTAAGGGGAATGGGTACCGTCTCTGACATGGACTATATTGCCTGCTTTTTGCTAACTTCCCCCTGGTAGGACTGCCTCACCAGACCACAGAGGAAGAGGACTCACTCAGTCCTGATGCGACTTGATGAGCTGGGGTGGATTAGTAGAGGGGGCTCTCCTTTTCTGAGGAATAGGGGAGGGGGCAGTGTGAAGAGGAAGAAAGGGTAGGACCAAGAGGAAAGAAGGGAGGGGGATACAATCGGTATCCCCTTCAAGGCATGTAAACAGTATTATTTCAGTAACATTTTTGATGCCTCAATTCACACCTTTGTGAAGTGGTCAGATAACATCTGATGTCTCTTCACATGTCACTGTTTATATAAAGTAAAGAATACTTACATTAAGAAAAGTAGAGAATGCAGTATATAACCAGTTAATAGCTCTGATACCTCAACCCTGGCCTAGTCCTCCTAAATTAATGTGATTTCTATAAACTCATATTGATATGGCATCCACACTACTGTGGGTACTTTAGACAATGTCTTTGGGAGTTGATACCCATTCTAACTCACAGATATTCCACTCAAACCATAAAGGCCCTTGGGAAAAAAAAATAGAAAGTGGGTCCTACCTATGTGAGTTAACAGGTTTTAAACGTTCTCACACTAAATACCTGCAATAACAGAAGCCACATCAGCAGCCCTTCCCGCTTCACCTTTGGTCCAGAGCACCAACATGCATAAAGATTTAAGAGGACTAGCTAAAGCATGACCCCCACAGAAAGCAGGATGTGTCACTTACCAGCCAGGGAAAGGAAGAGCACAGCCCATGCAGAAATCTGCCCAGGCATGACAGGCAAGGTTGGTCTACTGTTTACTGTGTGCTTGGGCCTTCTAAACTGCAGGAATGGCGTCAGAACAGGTCCACAGAAAACCGCGGAACATGAAGTTCCTTGCCCCTCAACCACTTGTGGCAGAGAAAATGAGCTCACATGATGAGAAGTAGCTAATAAAGTTGAGCCTGGTGCTGTACGATGAGGGAAAGCACAGGCAGTTCACAGTGGGAGAGTAAACACTTGGCCTCTTCCTGGAGTGTTTGTAAGAGGTGCAGGGGTGGGTAGGGGCTTGCTAGGGGGAAGGGCAACAGAAATCATTTCTCCAGAAAGGAGGCAGACCTATGGTAGCTCCTTCCCTTATAACTTGGGTCTCCTCTTTACGTTGTAGATTAAGACCATTTCAGTAAACCTATGCCAGACAGTCCCTCCGGTATGAGGTTGAGCAGTAGTTCTAGAACACTGTCTGTGAGTGTAAGACATGGCCAGTGTGATGTTCATAGCTACCTAAGTCAAGAATCTTGTGGGAACTAGGGAGATGAGGATATGAATCTGGCTCTGGCCATTCACAAATAAATTATACTGGTTTGATGTTTTCCTATGAGTATACTAATAAAAAAAAAAAAAAAAGACAAACACATTTGTGTTTTCTTACAGTGCTAGGATTTATCAGATAACAAAGTCACAAGTGTTTTCAACAGTAGCAATTTGCAAGTTATTCCTGCCTTTCTTGGTAACCCTGGCAGAGGTGAACATGGGTTCTTTTATTCCAACCTTAATTATTAACATTAACTCAGATCACACACCACAGAGATGTGTGTGTGTGTGTGTGTGTGTGTGTGTGTGTGTGTGTGTGTGTACATTATAGAATATTTATAAAAACGTAAGAAGCCACAGCAGAGTTAAAAAAAGTTTTGGAAGTAAATATATTTTTTCATTTTAATTGGTTCTATATTTGTGTTAATAAATTTGTAAATCTATAGAAATTTTGCTGATACCTTATATTGACTTCTAATTTGATTTTATGATTAAAAGCAATTTTAAAACTTAAATCTTATAAATTTTTGAGACTTCTTTTCTGACCAAGGCTGTGGATTTATTACATTTCTAAACTATTACAATGGAGTGTCATGGATGAGGAAACTTGGATGCCAGAAATTTACTTTCCTACAATTTAGAATGCCCGAAATCTGAGATCAGTGCATCACTAGGCCTGTTCCTTCTAAGGTAGGTTAGTAGACTGGAATCTTCCTTTTTACATTCACAAGGTCGACCACTGTGCATGCTTATGTTCTGCTCCACTTATTAGTGTCCATGTTTATGGCCTCATTTTACTTTCCAAAGACCCCATTTCCAAATATAGCCACATTTCAAGGCAAGAGTCTTTTACATATGGATCTGTTGATGGAGAGGAATGACACATTTCCCTTAGCACAATGGGTTCAAGTTACTAAACTTTCAGTATACATTTGAGAAAAATATGTCCTTTTTGGTTCGGTTGCTATAATAAACACCATGACAAAAGCAACTTGAAGAGGAAAGGATTTATTTCAACTGGTAACTCCCAGGTCACAATTCACCCATAGTGGAAGTTGGCAGAAATTCAAGGCAGGAACCTGGAAGCAGGAACTAAAGCAAACACATGGAGGAACTCTACTTACTGGCTTGCTTCCCATGGCTTTCTCAGCCTGCTTTTTACAACTCAGAACAACCTGCCCAGGCCAGGAATGGCTTCACTTCCAGTGGGCTGGGCACTCCCACCTCAATGATTAATGAAGAAAATGCCCTACAGACCTACTTAAAGGCTAATTTTATGGAGACATTTTCTTGGTTGAGATTCTTTTTCCCACAAAACTCTAGTTTGTGTCAAGAAATAAAAAAGAAGCGGAACATATATGTATTTTAAATCCAACATTCTATAGATGTACATTAGGCTAAATTGGTCGATATTACTCACATATCCTATATGCTTAAGCATTTCCTTTCTACTTATTTTATCAATTCTTACAAGAAAGTGACTGAAATATTTTATATAACTTTGGATGTATCTGTTATGTTTTCTTTTGTGTATTCAGAAACTCAGATACTTCTGTATTAACCTTACTATGCCTCCTTGTGGATTGTCCACAATTTTATAATTTTGAAATGGCCACTATATTTTTTATCATTTTTGTCATGATACTTTTATTGTTTCATGTTTCTTTTTATTACTCTCAGCATGTCATATATCCATTTGTTTTTAACCTGTTTAAAGGGATGTGAGTGAAGGAGATACCAAGTATAGCAATGCTGATGTCCCCACCAACGGTTGCTTCTACATTTAAAAACCTAAGCAGGCTCCTCCTATAATTGAGATAAAAACTGTAGTCTATAATGAGGTTTGCTACACCACTAAAGAGCTTAATGAATTTGGTAATTGATTCAAAGAGAAGTCTGGGGAGTATTGTGGGAATGGATTTTAAGGGTGTGAGATAATGGAAAGACATAAAACTAGATGAGGCTAAATATCAATATAATGCCACTGAATGGAGACCCTAAGTTTAATATGGAAACTCGAGCAGTAAAAAGGGGGTATCAAAAGTCTGTATGGTTGGTTGAAGCATTTCTCACAAGTTGGACAACTGAAAGGAGCTGGAGATACCTAATGTCTCTTGGCTTAACGTTGAAGGAATTTTAAGGGTCAGGGAAATAGCAATGCTAGACAGAATATTCTGTGTAAAACCTAAACCTCCTGTACTGTTTTAAATTAGAATGGCACCCCACAGGCTCATATATTGGAATAATTAGTCATCAGGGAGTAGTACTGCTTGAGAATGATTAAAAGGTGAGGCTCTGTTGGAGCAGATGTGGCTTTGTTGGAGGAAGTATGTCACTAGGGGTAGGCTTTGAGATTTCAAAAGTGTATGCCAGACCCAGGCTCTCTCCCCCTCTCTCTCTTCCTCCCTATGTCTCTCCTTCTCTCTCTCTCTCTGCCTCCCCTCCTCTCCCTCCCTCTCTTTCCCTCCCTCCCTTCCTGTCTTTCTCTCTGCCTGTTGACCAGCATGTAACTCTCAGCTACTGCTCTGGCACCATGAGTGCCACCATGCTCCCGCCATGTCTCTGCTGTTATGGTACTGGACTAACCATTGAAACTGAAAACAAGTCCCCTATTAAATGTTTTCTCTTATAAGCATTGCCTTGGTCATGGTGTCTCTTCACAGCAATAAAACTAAGATACCTCCACAATGGGATGGCCCAGAAGACATGGCCTCCCCTAATGGGAAGAGGGAAATCAGCATATTTGAAGAACTTTGTAGTCACTGTTTTCCTTGTGCCAGACCTTAGAGTCAGAAATGTTGCCGCTCGATTAAATAAACTCAATATGTTTAATTGGGCCCCAGAGTATCAGGGTCCAGGTGGCAGCACTGAATCACCAAAGGTGGAAACCTCTGTCAAGTTCTTGATGGTGGCACTAATTTCTGCATTTCCTCCTGGGATCCAATATTGTCTTTTGATTCCTTATTTTTCATTGCAGAGACATCTCCAATGTCCATTTATTTATTTATTTATTTATTTATTTATTTATTTATTTAGTCTTTCCAACCATAACAGCCCCCACTCCACGAGTCAGGTAACAAATCTGAGAATTCTGCTAATTTCTAAGTATATATATCCTAATTGTACATTCAGAGACTGAAGAAATAATTACAGGATGAATTCAGAGACCCACTAGACCTACTAGAAATCAGACTTCAGCCAAAACTCCATTTATCAGCTGACCTCCCTGAACCCCTATTCTAACTAGAAACCAAATGATTCTTGGTATCTTCTGGAATCAGTGTCAATTCTGAACCACCATCCAATAGACCTTAAAATTTTGATTTTCTTTTTTTTTTTTTTTTTTCACAGTTACTCTTATAAAAATGCCTTAGGTCCCTCTGGGAAAGACGGGAGAAAGGCTACCAAAAAAATGTGTTAGGTATTTTAGCAAAATCTTTCCTCACTCTAGGGGTTCTGGATTGACACAGTAGTTCATGGACTGAGACTTTTTTTTTTTAATTTGAGAATTTTTCTGCTTCTACAGATCAAACAAAAATGCCATAGACTTCTTACCTATTTCACGCCTGGAAACATCCTGACTAATTAGCCAGTACCGAATGAATAATATCACCATGACATTGAAACAGCACCACTTTGCAGTAGCTACAATCATCTTCTCTTTGGAGACAGGGCACCCACCTGGACCCTGCTACTCTGGGGCCCGATTAAACCCATCACATTCTATTTACCCAATTAAACACCAGTATCTCTGACTCTAAGGTCTGACATAAAGAGAAGAGTGATGCCAAAGCTCTTCAGATGTGTTGATGCACCTCTCACCATTTTGTATCTTATAGAATTAGTGAAGGGCATCCTGGGCCTTCCCATTGTGGATGATTAGGTTTTACACAGAATAGCATTTTAATATTGTAATTTCCCTGAGCCTTAAAATTTTCTTCATCAACACTAAGACAAGGGATATCAGGCATCTCTAGGTTCTCTTCATTAGGCCGTGTTTTCACAAATGCTTCAGCTAGCCATTCAAAGAAAATTTTTCACCTTTTAAAGGAGGATCAGATCTAGATTGCTCTGGAGGCTGATCTACCACTTGAACCATAATATCCAATAGATCCAGTAGCACCCCCAAGTACTATTGGTATCAGTGGCAGATGTGATCTACCGTCATCTTCATAGAACTATTTTCTCTTTGAGAGACATCAGTTGCCAAACTATTGGACAATAGTAGAAACAAAACAATTCACAATGGACCACCAAGTTACCATCATGAGTTGGCTGTTGTCTAATCCACTAAGCCATTATGTAGGACATGCACAATAGCAATCCATTATCAAATAAAAGTGGTATACACACGATCAGGCTCCAGCAGGTCCTGAGAGCACGAGCAAGTTACGTAAGTGTCATAAGTTGGCTTTAATAAATGCCAACCATGAGCTCTTGAAACTAGGTCAGGACCACTGGATATGCTTAAAAGGAGGCCA